CAACAATGCTCCTTGATGTTTGATTGCTCTTCTATTGGAAATATGTTGAATCTGGAAGTGCTAAGCTTTGCTAACTCTGGAATTGAGCTGTTACCTTGGACAATTGGAAATTTGAAGAAGCTAAAACTACTGGATTTGACAGATTGTGGTGGTCTTCGTATAGACAATGGTGTATTTAAAAATTTGGTTAAACTACAAGAGCTTTATACGATATGTGGCTATCCACCAGACAACCGCATTAAATTCACAGATGATAACTGCAATGAAATCGCAGAAGGTTCAAAAAACCTTTATGCTTTCGAATTTGAGTTCTTTCGGAACAATGCTCTACCAAAGAATATGTCATTTGAGAATATTGAACGATTCAAGATCTCAGTGGGGTGTGCTTTAGATGGAAATATTAGTAAGACCAAACACTCATTCGAAAACACGTTGCAGTTGGTTGTAAATAAAGACGAAATATTGGAATCTAGAATGAATGAGTTGTTTCAAAAAACAGAGGCGCTTTGTTTGACAGTGGAAGATATGAATGATCTTGAAGATATTGGGTTCAAGCCCTCACACCCTCTCCATACCTCTTCCTTCTACAAATTAAGAGTCCTTGTCGTTTCAGAATGTGCAGAGTTGAGATATCTTTTCACACTTGGTATTGCAAAAGCGTTACCAAATATTGAGCAACTTGATGTCGAGTCATGTGTTAATATGGAAGAACTCATACATACTGGGAGTAATGCAGAAGAAATAATTACCTTCCCCAAGTTGAAGTTTTTATCTTTGCGTTGGCTACCAGTGCTATCGGGCTTGTCTCATAGTGTCAAGATAATTGAGCTGCCACAACTCGTTGAGTTAAGACTTTGTGGAATTCCAAATATCACCGGAATTTATACCAATGATAAATTTGCAACATCTTGTTTCTTCAAGGAAGAGGTAAATATTTATTATTTTAATACAATTCAAACAATTTGTTGAATCAAAACTTTAAATATAAAAGTTGCATTTAAACTTTGTTCTAGTTTGAGTAACGGGTGGCATACTAAAAGAATTATAATTTGATTGTATATGATGTCTTATAATGTTTGGATGAGGCTATCAGTGGTTGAACAAAGCTTGATTGTTTTGCAGGTTATGATTCCTAATTTGGAGAAACTGTATATCTTTTATATGGAAAATCTAAAGGAGTTATGGCCTTGTGAATTTAGGATAACTGAGGAAGTTAAGCTGAGAGAGATTGAAGTGAGGTATTGTGATAATCTTGTGAATCTGTTTCCGTGCAATCCTACGCCATTACTACATCATCTTGAAGCTCTTGAATTATGGGATTGTGGGTCCATTGAAGTGTTATTCAACATTGACCTGGATTGTGTTAGTGAAATTGGGGAAGAAGATAGCAACAGCAGTAGCTTGAGAAGCATTAAAGTACAACGATTTGGGAAGCTAACATATGTGTGGAGGATAAAAGGTGCAGATAATTCTCCTCACCTGATACGTGACTTTATAACTGTTGAAAGCATAGATATAAGAAGCTGCAATATGTTTAGAAATGTATTCACACCTGTTGTCACCAATTTTGATTTATCGGCACTTACGGAGATCTTCATTCATGAGTGCGGAGAAAGCGAGAGAAACAATGAATTGATGGAGTGTATCCAAGAGGAAAAGGTTTGACTTTCATTTATTATTTTGTTTAATTAAGGGTTAAGATCAAAACTTCAAAGCAACAAATCATTTCTTAAATTAACGTGCCTATGCATATATAGTAGAATCGATGGATTATCTATAGCTTATTTTTTTCAAAATAATGTTTCTCAAATCCAGAACTATAAAATGGAATTTGATTGATTTTTCAGTTATAAATTACTAGGTGTGAGACCCGTGTATTACACGGGTTTATTAAAAATAAAATTTTAATATCAATATTTAAACATTAAATATTTTATAAAATAATACTTTTACATAACATAATGTAATCTTTTGGAACATTTATAAAAGAAATCAAATATTCTTTAAAGCATTTATTAGATTTTATTATCAAATTAATAGAATGATTCTCTTTCCTTACATGAAATTTTATTTTTTAAAAAATGGAAATTCCTAAAAAATAACAAGTGGAAAATAATAATTCTAAAACTCTTACAAAATTACAAGTGACAAAACTCTTAACAATTTGACAAGTGACAAAAAAATAAACTTTCATTTATTAGAGAGGATTAATTAACGCACTTCAATTCTAGCTAGTTGAAGTTACTAATTACATTTCCTTTGGGATATATTTTCAGCTTAATATTGTACAAAAGGAAGACACATCTCGAGTCATTAATGATATCTCTAATGTTGTAATCCCTATGTGTCACATGCACTCTTTTCGTAACCTCCGTTCGCTTGAATTGTGGGGATATGAAGGAGTGGAAGCGGTATTTCAGATCGAGGGTCCACAAAGTAGAGAATTGGTAACAACTCAGAATAATCAACAATTACTGCCCTACCTCGAAGAATTGCATATGACTTTTATGGAGAGGATGAGCCATGTATGGAAGTGTAACTGGAATAATTTCTTAATTACTCAAAAAACACATTTGGAATCTCCATTCAACAACCTGACAACCATACATATGATCCAATGCAAAAGCATTAAGTACTTGTTTTCACCTCTCATGGCCAAACTTCTTTCCAAACTAAAGAAAGTCGAGGTAAGTGATTGTGATGGTATTGAAGAAATTGTTTATAATAGAGATGATGAAGAAAAAACAAAGACAGATTCTACCAACACAAGCACCAGTTTATTCACTCATTTCGATTCCCTCACTCTAAGTGGCCTAAACAATCTAAAGCATATCGGTGGCAGTGTCAGTAATCATCGGAGCAATCAATTATCTTTCAATAATACCACTACAACTAATGCTTTTCTTGATCAAGTACGTTTTCTACTATTCAACAACTTATTTAATTTCTTTATTTTAAGTACAAACTTTTATTATATGAATAGCAAAGGAACATTGCTGGGAATAAGGCAACGTTAACCAGGATATGACCCATAAGCAAATCAGCAACCCTTAACATTATTACTTATAGTACTATGTTAATAAAACAATCCCCAACCCTTAACATTATTTTTTATACAAAATTAATAAAAATGATGTAAAATATATTGAAAACACTAATTTCTTTTGAAATTATTACCTTATTTTAAAAACTAAAGAGAATATTTTTATGTATATCCCTGTTTTTCCAATTATGTACTTTGGAGAAAGCCAACCCTTATATTTACTAGTTGTTTAATTAGACGTTTAAACACATTTTTTTTTGAAGATAACTTTATAAATTATATTATTAGGCAATTATAAAACAAAGAAGTAAGTTCATTTATTATATAATAACACAACTAGGAACATTAATTTAAGTTTAGTACAATAACACACAAGTAATAATAGTAAATATAAGTTACAGCTATACAAAAAATAAAGTAAAAGTGAAATATTTCAAAGTTGAATGACCTGAAACTTTAACACTATACTTGATGTTGGTGGACAAATCGGTTTATTTATTTCTTTGTTCGTTTGTTTTATAAGTTCATGATGGATGGATTTTTTTGGCTTTGTAAAAAAATTTGGGTTTCATTGTTATTTGAAGATGATTAAAGGTGTTGGGGATTTTGGGATGATAGATCTTTTTTCTAGAGTTTGAACCTTCATTTCTTTGCTGATCTTATTTTTCGAAGAAAGGTTTTAGGTTGCGTTTAGTTATAGAAAAATAATTTTTATTTTTCGTTTTCAGTTTTTATTAGAAAATTTAGAAACACGTTTAATTAAAAGTTATTTCTTTTTTATTTCGGTTTTAGAAAATTAGAAAAAAATGTTTAGAAACCCAAATTTGAAAACGAGTTTTCAAAATTCTCGTTTCTCTTGGAAAAAAATTTCGAGAAGTGACCCATTTTTTTGGTAAGTAAACGCATGGTTTCTACATATTGATTTATAGAAACCCAAATTTTGAGTGTTGTTCTTCTAGAAGGAAGGGTGTGGATGATGGTTTGTGGTGGTGGTTGTGCATGGTTCTTCATATCTTCAACACCTTTACAATCTCCGTAAATGCCTTTATTTGATAACAACTAATTTAAACTTTAATGATCTAGAATGCGAAAAAAATGATTGAACAAATGATTACATAATGAATAGTTAGTTGGGCTGCAATGCCATAACCTATATATATATATAACATCACATTAATCTTTCATGTGTTGCAGCTTTCTCAAGTGGGTGGTGTTTGTTGGACCTTATGCCAATACTCTAGAGAGATAAGAATATCAAGGTGTCATACATTGTCAAGTGTGATTCCATCTTATGCAGTAGGAAATATGCAAAAGCTTCAAGTTCTAAAAATAGAGTCTTGCAGCTTGATGAAGGAGATATTTGAAACTCAAGACATCAATGACCACAACAGTAGCTTTCATAGTGCTGAAGAAACTGTTGGTACACCAACCATTCCAGGACTAAGTAATGTCATTAAGTTTAAACTGATGAACCTAAAGATATTGGAAATCAAAGATTGCAGCTGTTTGGAACATATATTCACATTTTCTGCCCTTGAAAGCCTTGGGCAACTAGAAAAGTTAAAGATAGAGAATTGCATTGCAATGCAAGTGATTGTGAAGGAAGAACCAGGAGATCAGACCAGGAAAACAAATGATTTGGTCTTTCGGCGTCTAAAGTCCATTGCACTTGTCAATCTACCAAACCTCATGAGTTTCTTCTTGGGGACGAATGACTTTCGATGGCCATTATTGGATGATGTTATGATCAAGGATTGCCCCAAAATGATGGTGTTCACATCTGGTCAGTCAATAGCTCCAAAGCTCAAGTACATACACACAAGATTTGGCAAATATAGTCTTGATTGTGGCCTTAACTTTCCTGTGACAACCACTTCGCATCAGGTATAAGTTTTAATAACATAATCTAATTAAGAAATCATGCCATATAAAATGATTAAACACATTGATATATGCTAGCTTCTTGAGAAGTTTAGGTTTGTTCTTTAATCATTTGTTTTCCATTTTGAAGGGAATGAGGTAAAACACAAAACATATATGTCTAACTTAAATACTTGATGACATAGTAGTCCAACAGAAACTTTTAGTTGGAGTTTATTAGCATCACTAATTAAGATTTTTAATATATTTATTGAACACCATCTATATTAATTATTATTCTTTTAGTTTCGTTAACAATAAAATGCTTTTGTTGAATGAAATTAAACTGTTCATCGTGAAAATGCTTGCAAGGGTAATAATTTTGTTCATATAACTAACGGATTCTGAAAGGTATCACATTTTTTGTGTGTTTTTGATCAAAACAGATAGAAATTTAATCATAAAAGTGTTTGTTTTTTCTTTCTTCAACTATAACAAAAATTATATTATCAGACGAGCATGAGCTAGCCCAAAGAAACAGACAATTTACAAATGAGGGTGAGCCTAATTAGGACTCATAAGACAACTTAACAAAAATCTGCCCTATATTTTTAAATCGACTAGAAATCCAAAAGAAATTAACAATTGGTCATAACCGAGCCAAATAAATGCCGAGTGTTGTGGCTTTATGTATTTGCATAGATATAAGATCATACAATGAAGTCATGACCATGTATAATCTTGTTGAACCTGGGATCGATGTTATCTTTCACATATGCCTCATTTTCTTTTTGGACTTGCAGACCCTATTCCCAGTTTTAGACAATACAAGCTCAAGCTCGGCTACTTCAGAAGGGATACCTTGGTCTTTTCAAAATTTGATCACATTAGATCTAGCATATAATAAATTTGTTGTAAAGATTATTCCATCCAAAGAGTCACTACAACTTCAGAAGCTGGAAAAGATTCATGTAAGGCAATGTGTTATGTTAGAGGAGGTATTTGAAGCATTGGAAGGGACGAATAGTGGTTTTGTCAAACTTCCAAATCTAAGAGAAGTGGAGTTACTAAGGCTAAAGCGTCTAAGGCATATATGGAAGAGCAATCAGTGGACAATATTTGAGTTTCCAAACTTAACAAGAGTCTCTATTGATTATTGTGATGGGTTAGAACATGTTTTTACTAGTTCCATGGTTGGTAGTCTATTGCAACTCCAAGAGCTACATATAAGTTATTGTGACAATATGGAGGAGGTAATTGTTTCAGATGCGAATGTTGTTGTAGAAGAAGAGGAGGATGGAAAAGTGAATGAGATTTTATTACCTCGTCTAAGATCTTTAGAAATTGATTCAGTTCCATGTCTTAAGGGGTTTTGCTTAGGGAAGGAGGATTTTTCATTGCCATTATTGAGTACTTTGAGTATCAAGAAATGTCCAACAATAACAATTTTCACCAAAGGAAATTCAGCTACTCCAGAACTTAAAGAAATAGAGACAAGTTTTGGCTCGTTTCATGCCCAAGAAGACATCAACGCTTTTATAAAGATAAAACAAAAGGTAGGTAGATCTTTCACTAATAACTTGGTTATACTTATTTATGACATTAACCCTTAATTATATATTTGATGCAGGAGTTTACAGATGCTGACAGATAATGTCAAGTAAATATTAGAGGTAATCTTTAACAAATAACTTGTTATACCTATTTATGATATTAACCCTTACTTATATATTTGATGCAGGAGTTTACAAATGCTGAGAGATATTGTCAAGTAAATATTAGAGGCAAATTCTATTCTCATGTCATCCTCGTTGACTATAAACTCTTGTAGTAAAGTAATGGCCATCAATTCATATTTTCCAGATCATGATGACATGAACTCTTGTGATGGATTACAAGTTTAGATCATATTTGCAGTTCGGTTCCAAGGACAATGTGTATACGTTATGAAAACTTAAGCATTCAATGCTTATAATACTGATAGCACTCATTTTCTCGTTTACTTTTCGTTTCTTATTACTTATTTTTACTAGGGGTGTGCATCAAAATGCATAAACCACCCACACTGCACCACACCGCACCGCATAATGCGGTTTTGGATGCTCGTGGTGCGATTTGCGGTTTGTAGTTTTCATAAACTGCACTATGCGGTGCGTTTTGCGGTTTATAGTTACCAAAATGCGGTTCAAACCGCACTATAACATATTATATATATATATATATATATATATATATATATATATATATATATACCCACACAACATGCTAGATGTTTACCACTTTTAATACCCTTAATAATGTTTATGAGATTTCGATTGATAAACATGAGTTAGAATGGGAAACCAACTATATTAAAAATATGTGTTTACAGTATCATAAGTTCATATTATAATTCTATAATATTGTAAAATATTTTGATGTTATGCATAAAGAAGACGCTTATATAGACAAGTAATCTTTTCTTCATTGTATATAAAGCACCACACACTTATTATGTTTAAAACTAAATTTAATATGTATGTTTATGAAACCGTACAAAAACCGCAAAACCGCACCGCATAACGCGGTTTATTACTTTTGCGGTGCGGCTTGCGATTCCCGAAAATAACAAACCACATATGCGGTGCGGTTTGCGGTTTTGAGGATAAATCGCAGCAAACCGCACCGCGAACACCCCTAATTTTTACGCATTGTTTTCAATAAAAATTGCCTAATGATTTATCATAATTCTTACATATCATAATAAGAATCACCGATAATCATTATTGGTTGAGTGGTATTTTGAAAATTTTGTTCAATAGCTAAACTTTTGCATACTTGTTTATCAAAATTTGATTCAATAGCCTAACCTTTTTTCCTGAACATCCAATGATGATTTGAAAGTAAATATCATGAAAAGAGGAGATAAGAATATTAAAGTATGTTAAAAGGTTAGCATTTTTCATAATCAAACTTAAACATTACTTTATAGATTATTGGGTAAGTTATGTATAAGTGTATATATGTGGGGGTGTGTTCGTGTATCTTGTATGCAGGAAGTAAGGTTTGTATGCGGATTTCGGGTCATATCCATGGATCTTTCTACCCGGAGTACTTAAGTGTTGTAGTTGGTTTGAGTCATTTAGATAACATTTTTTCCTTAACATACTCTCTCATCCCTCTCGTTTGTAGATTAGGGTTTTCTATCTAGGGTTTGTTCATATATCGTGTTCGATGTATATATTTCAAGTTGATATGTATTATGAGTGTGAGTGTGATATGCAGTGAGGCTTCAGGTGTAATCTGTTGATGTAAACCATCTATTTCATAGTGAATGAAATGATGATGTTGGAAAGCTCTTGAGTAGTTTACGTTTTTGAGTTGGGATACATCAACATTCAATTTAATGCTTAATTGGTTGTACACATTTGTAAGGGTGCACACTAATCTGAGTTTGGAAGGAAATGGAGTGGAAGATGAACCTGGAGTCGGCATGATGGAAGGTTACCATAAGCAACAAGCAAACAGCCGATAGAAGCACCACAGATTAAAGAAAATAGCATGTTGAGACAAAATTCAATCAACAATGGGTTACATTGAAGTAATCAACTAGGAGAGGAGGTCTTGAGAGTGGTTGATACACCAATGGATTAAAAGAACGCAACTTGGGAATAAGAGACAAGCACAACGAGTTTCGTGATTGTTGGAAGCGACGTCACAAAAAAAATGACGTACGTGGATTTGGTTTGTAGATATAGAAACCCTAGCATGAGACCATGTTGATTGTGGAAAAAGCCTCAAAATATAGAGGCGTGTATAGCAGAGAATATCTCCGTTTCTAATAAATAAATAACTTCAATGTCCAATTCTTCAAATGCCACGTGTCTGACTCTCAAACCTCCAACATTCTATGTCAAATATGTCAAAATTTAGCTGCGGTTTTATTTCATAAAAAAATAGTACCTGCAGATCAGTAAATCACTTTTAATGCTCTAAATTTAGCCGCATTTAAATTTTAGACATATATAGAATACAGAAGACTACAAGTATAATATCCCTAAAAAATAGCTATTGATATTCCAATTTCCCCCTCTTAAATCTCTTTAATTCCATGATTCACTGCCACAAATACGTCAATTTAAAATATTCATTTTACATTTTCCTTTTATACATTAAAAATTATAGAGATATAGAGATATTATAGAGATATCGAGATATAATACCCCTGAAAATCAACTATTCAAATTTCAATTACTTTATCATTATACTGATAAATACGTATAATGATCGATCCCTAAAATTGTTTTCTTCACTTTTGTCTTCAAAGCTTTCAGAGTATAATTCTTCTGCATCTCTACATCTACATTTAAATCCATCAGGTTAGTATACAAAACTAATGATAATGTAATACCAATGAATGTTTTCAAATCGACAACCACAAGACCAAAAAAGAATTCGGATGCAACGAAAGGTTTGAAGCGAGGTCTTGAGGATGATTTTGCTTTCGCTATCAACGACAACGTGTCGTCTTCAAAGACTACAAAAGGTGTAAGAGGGGAAGTTAGACAACAGAAATTTGTCAAGGTTAAGTTGAAAAGGTGATTGGTTACCTACCTTTTATAAGCAATAATCATTTTTTTAATTTTTTTAGTAAGGGTATTAAGAAATTTTTGTTCTTTTGGTTAGAGATTTGATGAATTTGGTTGTTTTTTGGTTTGAATTGTTTGTTTCATAATTATTTTTAGGATGACTTTATATTGTGTGTTTGTTTCTTAATAATTTGTTTCCTAATTTTCATAAACTACAATCATATTTCTATCATGTTCAAGAAATTCTATTGCTATTTTCTACAATTTTAACAATCAAAAAAGGTTATTGATTTATTTTATAAACAATGACATGCAATTTAATGAATACATAAATTTATACTTTTTTTAGATCTTCATTGTTGGGTAAAATGCTTACGAGTTACAACCTCCTAAATCATGTATTCAAGAAAATTATTTTAATGTTTTATTGCTATAGTTTTTATAATCGAATTTAATACAATTCGTATCATACCTTTATGCTATCTGAAAGAGCTGCAACATTTGTAAAATGAGGTAAAATCTCATATTCAGCCAATAGCCCCACTAAGGATGACATGAAAATATACCTCTCATCCTTAGCAACCTAAAGGGCAAAATGGTCATTTAATCATGGTCGAATTTTAATCCTAAGGCTACAAAAGGCACATGACTTACCTTCAACTCATGTGCTAATTTAAGATTTCGTCAAGAACACCTTTTCTACGTGCTAGTTCATTAGCAACAGCTTTAATGGTTTCATTTTGCCTCTCATCCAAATAGCATGTAATATTAAATAATTGTTTCATTGTTCAAGAAGGTTAATATGGTCATTTACTCATACCCAGACATTCACTCAATCTATAAAAGAAACAGTCTTTATTTATGCAACCTGTATAGCATGATTTATCTATTCGGCACTTAATGAAAAAAAAAGGCCCGAAATATTTCCATATAAAACAAATTAAAAATCAACATAATCGAACATAAAAGAAAAGGTTGAATTCATTAAATTAATAACTTGCACACCATCCGTTCAAAAACAGTCTTCTTAACTATCTTTTTCACTTGGTCTAACCCCAGATCAAAGATGATGTAAACTCTCCAAAGCCTGCTACAAGATCAAGCAAAGATGAAGAACAGAAAAATAGAGAAAAATAAAAGATGAAGAAGAAAAGGTTAAAACAAAAAAGGAGGAGGAAATAAAGGGAAATGATTTTTTTGAAGAGGAACATGAAGAAAAAAGGATGAGAAGAGAAAAAGGAGAGATCATTACAAGAGAAAGTTACTAGTCTCATTACAATGGTCAAATAATGGAAGCAAAAGACTTGGTATTTATTGAAGAGATACTAATTGTAAACTCAATATTTTTAATGCAAATGAACCACAAGTAACTAAATACTTTTAATAAAAAGTTGATTAAAATTAATTTATGAAACAAAAATTAATGTTTTAAAAATTATTCACAAATTAATATATATTAAACACAATTCTATTAAAATATTTGATTATTAATAAAAAAAAATTTAACATGGAAATCATATTCAGAACAAAAAATAAGGATGCAGTAAAAATAATTTTCTTTGAAATATTAATCCTAGGTGCCTACATCCACCACAAAGTCATTGAATACGGGTCGATTCTGTTATGAAGAGGGCAGAAAACAAAAGGGATCTCCATTAAGATTTTATTTTCCAACGGAAATCATAGTAAGTAACATTTATATTATGTGTGTGTGTGTGTGTGTGTGTGTGTATATATATATATATATGTTAATAGATTAACAAAATTCTAACAAAATAAATATTTAATATATGTAATTAGACTGAAGAGATGACAAATGAGAAGATACCAATGGATGATAGATGTAAAATGTTTGATCAAAAAACAACAGAAGCAATGAAATTACATCTATGCACATGATTTCGATAAACTAGGATTTGTAAGTTACAACAATCTTTTATATTATATATATATATATATATATATATATATATATATATATATATATATATATATATATATATATATATATTTTGACAGTTTACAGTTTAATATAAATCCAACTATTCTTTCTGTTCAAGAAGAAAATGTATTACTATTTATTATA